CCCGAACCCGCGCCGACGTTTTGCTCCCACAGCAGCGGGAGATGGCGCACTGGTACTAGCACAGCATGCTTGGTCGCCAGCACGCAGACAGGCGGGCATGCAGGCAGGCAGACAGGCGGGCGGGCAGGCATGGTGGTGATGGCGGCCGTGGTGGTGCTCTCAGTATTGCTTACGAGCGCCGAGGGCCTACGCAGCGCGCAGCCTGAGCATGGCGCCGGGCTAGGCCCAAACCCAGCCCGCCAGCCCACGCAGCCCAGTAGCCCAGTCTGCTGCTGTTCCACCCAACTCGCCGACCCGCCCGCCCTCTCTCAAGGTGCCGGCTATTGGGCCGCCCGCTGCAGTTGGGTGGCATGGGCGCTGCTGGCTGGCTGCTGGCACCTCCTGGCCTGGCTGCTGGCACCTGGCCTGGCTGCTCGCTGGCACAGTACACACAGTCAGTCCCTTGGCCAAACCGCCTCGACGTGTGCCCAATCGGCAAAAGCACATGCCTTTGCTTCTTCCCTCGTCGTTATAACATACCCACGCAAGCCACCACCACCGCCCTCGTCTGCTCCCACCCCCTCCATTCCTGGATTCCTCGCGCGCTGCCAACTTCTCGCGCTGCTGCTCGACACCACAGCTGCAGCCGTACCATTGCACCACGCATCCCCCCTCGTTGTCCGCTAGCATCCGCAGCCTGATGATCCCGGCCTAAACTTCCCGGCCCGCTTCTCAGAACTCTCCCATCCAAGCCACTCACGGCGTCCGATCGCTCCCACCCTAGCATCAGACCCTTTCATCTGCACTAACCTTCAGCCCTTTGTGCATCCGCGGCCCCTCTAGCCTCCCCCATCGCACTGCCTCACGTCACTCGTCGCGTATCTGCTGCATCTGGCGTGCTGCTGTTCAAACCCTGTCGTCGCGATACGTGAGCGCCTCTAGCTCCGTTCTTTTTCGGCCCATCTCCTGGCTCCGCCCTCACCTTGTGCGCCGCCCGCCCACCCTGCACAGTCGCCACTTTTTTCCCCTCTCCCTTAGCATACATACTTTGGCTCGCCCACCTCTCTTCGCCTCCTCCTTTTCCAATTGCTCCTCACAGTCGAAGTCGTTGCTAGACGTACCCCTCGAACTGTCCCACCGCCCATCAACGCAACCTGGTTGTCGTTGCCCACGCTCGGATCCTGGTTGAAGCTACCCCACCCACTTGCCGCCACACCACTACCACCGCCATCTGCCTGCCACACCCCGACTGCTACCATCACTGCCATCACTGCCATCACTCCAGTCCTCGCCGCCTGCTCTGGACCTCACCACCATGCCTGCTGAGCGTCGGACTTTCACCGCCGCCCGCCCGGTCAAGACGGAGCGCACGCACGAGGAGAACCAGGAACGGTTAGTCGTGCCAAGTCTGCTTTGCACAAAATTCACGTGCTGATCCTATACAGCGCTTACATTGCTGCCTCGCGTCGCAGCGATCGCAGCCTAGAGGCTCGCATCGAGTCTGCACGTAGAGCTTCTGAGATCCACAAGAAGCGCACAGGCCGTGCATTGCGTGTTACTGAGCAGGATGTCATCAATGAAGAAATGTACGAAGAAGAAGACGATGACTTACCCACCCAGTACCAGCGCCTCAACGCGCACCTGCACACCACGTCGGTCATGTTTAACAAGAAGCTCCATGACTACATTGCAACCCAGCACGGCGTGCGAAACATGTTCATGTCGCAGTACCAGAACCAGAGCCCCACTTTTCCGCAGTTCGGAGCTCAGTTCACATCCCCCGCCGGTGCTTTTCCACAGGCAAACAATTGGCTGAGCCCCACCATGCTGCCACCCCAGCAATTCGCTCCTTCCTCGCCCCAAGGCTTTCAGCAGACTCAGTCCTTCAGCCCCACCACCACTCAGCCCCAGCAGGGCTATCGGCAGTCCCCTTACCATGTCCCTCAGCGGACCCAGTCGCACCAGCGTGCCCTTTCGATTCAGCTTCCTCAGGCCCCCTCGCAGTTTGATCACTCAGCTCAGCCACCGAGCGCAACCGCCACGACTCCACAGACTGACGTCAACCGAAGCATGTCTCTGCCTCCTCAAGCCTTCCAGACCCAGAATCAGTCTGCCGAACAGTCTGCCCAACCATCGCTGACGCACTCACCCGCTACTCAGTCATCTTCTCCCACCAATGGCTCTGTCGCCGATGCTCAGCAACCGCCGAGCGACTCTACCAGTCCCTCTTCGTACTCTTTTAGCCCGGCAAGCTATCCTTTTAATTCTCACATCTTTGGCACCAATCCTTTGACTTTGTCCATGCCGCCTGAGTCGCAGCAATTCCTCGGATCATTCCTTGACCCCAATGATGCACGCACCGCTACGCTTATGGCTGGCAGTGAGAACCTGCCTCAGCCATTTACTCCCACCTACACCTACAACCCTAACAAGGTGGGGCGAACATCGAATGCCGTCAACGTTTCCGAGAGTGCTCCCGGTTCCACTCAGACACTATCGTCTGGCCTGAACCTCAAGGTGGAATCTCTAGCCGACGATTCATCGGTGCTGCCTACTTCCATTTCCGAGAGCTTCTATCCCACTGACGGTTTTCTTACTCCCGGAAACCCCGATTATGAATCATTTTTTGACTTTCAAGGTGCTGGATATGCGCAAGCCTTCGACGACCATTCGGCCAACGACCAAGACAATGGTAACAGTCTGGTAAATTGGGATGAGTAGTCGTAGCATTCACCTGCCTATTACCTTCTTCAGCTTGCCACCAGACCCACGTCGTCTTCTCATGCCGGGCGACGCCCATCGTTTTCCATACATGTATTTTTTTTTTCCCTTTTTTCACTTTGGAGTAGCGATTTTGGTTTTGCAAGCAAATGATACCTCTTACACAGTGTCGTTACGATGTCACGACTGAAGGCGTTGTACGGAGTCATTTTGGGCGCCCCGAAAACGCTCGACCTTTTGTTGGATGCGCATACGTATCCGTATCGCGACGCTTAGCAGCATCGCCTGGGAGACAAAACTCTCTTCACTCTCGGTCCCCATCTTCGAACTGAGGTATTTGTTGTATAGTATAATTGTTATTGCGGCCTCAAAGCTGCTGGTCGCACAAAAAAATCTTGTCCCCGTGGTATGATTTGTGACGTGTGTGTGTGTGTGTGTGTGTGTGTGTGTGTGTGTGTGTGTGTGTGTATTGTGACCGAGTATGCATGCAACCATGATGCGGTAAGTTTTTCCTACTACTACCCCAGTAAACCCTGTCCATCTTGCCGTGTACAAGTCCCGAAGGGAGTGGTGCACTAGATGGGGTCGTGCATCAAGTTTCGCAATCAACCAGGCTATACAGATGACATGTTATTAGGTTCTTCGGCCTTGGGCAATAAAAGTGACACTAGCGCCGAGCATGTAACTGTGCGAGCCGTCAAGAGGATACGTAACATGTAGCAAGCAGCATCGACTTGTCAAGCAGATTGCGTCGCACTGCTCACACAAAAAGGTACCTTGGTAATGCTAAGTAGGAATGCTCTTTCAATACGGTATCGTTAGGCATCGTGACGCATGGTCCCTCGAGGCAACTTTATCAGGTGTACTTGGGAAACCCGGAAGCAGCGGAACAGCGGTGTGCTCACCGAACAGTCAGCTCTCAGGTACGTCAAAAGAAATGCTTGAATGCTCTTTCGCTGTCCACTAAACAAGCTTATTATTAGTGCTAATGACTCTATTTCGACCGTGCTCAACGAATTCAACTACGTAGACAGCATGCCCCCGCCCTGCATCTCAAGTGTGTCAAGTAGCGGCACTTGCAGTTCCCTTGGCTCGCCCACAATGTAAAGACAAAGGTGACACACGTAAGAGTCGTACATGGCCTGGTTGTACAGCGACTCGTCCATATTCAACAGTTGCCATCGGCCTACATGGCTCCGAAACCTGCTCGCGCCACTCTAGGCAGTCTCTCATCAATGAGCAACACGGTGCATGGGAAATAGATGATTATAGTCGCCCACAGGTTTTTGATAGCTTGACTACGCCCTATTGACCCTATCGCGAATCGTGCAGGCGCCTTGCAGCATCGTATGCCCGAGTTTTGGTTCCTGCATCTTTGTGTCACCATGGCTATTCTAGCCTCTTGTCCAATGACACCCAGCAGTTCGCTCTTTCCTTGTTCGCAAGCTGGCCCATCAAATAATGTCAAAGACAACCACACGTGATCCTCAGCATTACGGTCAAATTCCTGAAATACAGACTTGGTCACAAACACTACACTGGGTGTACCGTCTGGCTTCGAATCACTCGAGTCGATGGATTCACAGTAGCACCATGGCCCGAGTAACTGACAGCGCAGACATGACCAAACCCAATACCGATTGGCATCGTCACTTCTGTCATCCGTAACTTTGGTTTCCAACCGGGTGTCGTAGTATTTGCCTTATTCTGCACTACCGGCAGCGGCCGCGGCACTGCCTGCTGTGTAACATCCGGGATCATGCATCATGCATCTACTCCACAATCGTCTCTTCATACTAGGACTAAAAAGCCCAATCCATGGTTACCTTCTCAATGCACTCGAGTTCTTCCATGGATTTGTCTGCAGGCAACTTAGGATGTCCTTTTCCAAACGTCAGAATCAGAAAGTGGTAAATTCTGCCAGACTTGAGCAGTTAACATGCAGAGCCTCATCGTCCAGCTATACCATATAACGGACCAAAAGTGTACCGATTCTTCAACAATCTAGACTCGGGTAAACGGCAACGGAAAGCAGATATGCCTTGCTGCATATCTGTACCTGCATCGCAACCGAGTACCCTAACCTTGTGCCACCGCAACGTCAGACCCACACCAGGTTGCTATCGTGGTGGAACGAAAGCAAAATACATAAAAGGAAACGACACTCGACAACACCAAGACTCAAGCTCTTCGGCTGTAGTTGTTTGTTGGACTCACTCTACTCTCGCTTCTTACCTTTCTGCCACTCGTTTTTTTTTGCCAGTCTCTCTTACCATCTTGAAGGACTAATCAAGTCAGCCATGAAGCTCAACGCCTACGTACCTCTTGTGGCGTTTGCGGCTGTTACTGCTGCTGAACGGTTTCCTGGTATGTCTCTCTTTCGCCACTAGTACTTGTGGAAGTTGGCAATCTTCAACTACTATGCTAGCATTCAAATATAGATAGTTGCTGACACGTTTGTTCAGTGAACTTGCCAAAGCATGTGCGGCCTCGCCAATATTCTGCTCCACCGTCATACTCACCCGTGGGTCCGAGTTCGAGCAGCGGCGGCGGCGGCGCATCATCCAGCTTTCCTAGCGGATCTTCGACCTCGCTGTCTACCGGCGTCTCTTCCACTGTCGACTTACCATCTGTCCAAACGTCTTCATTCCCGCCCAATGCCACGACGCCTGGTCCTTCGACAGTCGTCATCACAAGCGTCGTTGTCATTACATCCGTCATTCCGCCTCTGCCGTAAGCTACAGTACATATAGTGCATCATGGAAATCAAACACTAATAGTCACATAAAGTAGTACCTCAACTTCTACGGACGCTACTGGAAGCAGCTGGGGAGTAAGCAAATCTTCCTCTATCAGCGTCCCGCTTTCCACAGGCCCCCAATCATCCGGCACTGGCTATCACTCTTGGCCCCACCACTCTTCACATGGATCGTCAGCACCTTACGGAAACAGCACTTTGACTTCTTCGTCTCCATGGAGCACTGGCATAGTGTCAACTTCGTCAATCCCGCCCCTGACTTCTGCTGCTAGTAGCAGTCCCTCGGCATTTACCAGTTCCCCTCCATATCCTTCCAACGGCACGCTCACAGAGACCAGCACGGGATCTGTAGCTACTCGCAGCGGAAACGCGACCACATCCGCGGTGCCCACTTCGTCCGCGCATTACAAGCCCCCTGGAAACCTAACCAGCAGTCTCTCCATTGTGACCGACTCCGTCTTCCCGTCGTCAACCCCCGACATTTCAACAATCAGCTGGATCTCATTCACATCTGGGAGTCCATCGGCTACACCCTCAAGTCCATCATCTGCTACTTCAAAATACACAAAATCTACCTCATCGCGCCGACGCACCACGACTACCAGACGCCGTTCTACAACACGCACTTGGAGCAGAACACTGACCATGTCGTTTTCCTCGGCTGGTTCCGCTTCGTTTACGCCTACTCCTTCGGGCCATCTACCATGGACTAGTAGTACGGCGTCGGAGGAAGAATCGTCCACCGCAGCTTCATCATCTGGTAGTACCGCTACACCGTCTCCATCTGAGAACTGGCCGTCTTCTTCTGCTACCCCATCTGAATCAGATACTTGGCCTTCGTCGTCCGCTACACCATCCGAATCCGATAGCTGGCCCTCATCGCCCTCCTCCTCCCCCTCACAATCCACCCCTACCTCTTCTTCCCTCAGCACATCCGACCAACTCTCATCAACCAGTACTCCCGCATGGCCACCAGCTTCCTCCTCCCCGTCTTCATCGCCATCCAACAGTGCCACAACACCCTCCCCAAGCACTTCCTCCCCACCATCCCCCTCCACCAGCACCGACGCAACCGCATCCTCCTGGCCCGTTACATTCCCCTCCTCCCACCCCACCCCTTCTTCTTCTTCTTCCCCCTACAATTCCTACTCCACCCCACCCTCCACCTACACCGACGCAACCGCATCCTCCTGGCCCGTTCCTTCCTCTTCTGCCTCTACCTCGCTGTATACTACTTATACCTATACCCCTTCCTCTTTTTCTTCCCCCCCGTCTTCCTCTCCCTCATCACTCTCTTCCCCATCCGCTTCTTCTTCTTCTTCTTCTTCTTCAGCGTCATCACCCTCAGCATCCCCCAGCTCCCTCACCCGCCCAACCACCACCTTCGAAACAAGCACAACCACGACTAAATCTCAAGCCTACGCCCCCGTGCCCCCCGTCCAGACCTATCAAGTTCGACATCACCACCAGCGTGCTGCCGAGAAGACCAATGTCGTAAGTACACCCTCCCACTTCACCTTCCCAATACCCCACACATTCTGTTGCATGGTCGGCTAATCAGGTTTCATGTGTGTATAGGTGAGATTGTGGTTTGTCTGATTTGACGTGGGGGACTGGGATAATCGCTCGTCTTGGTAGGCTTCTTTTTTTTTTAAAAAAAAAAAAGGGGNGGGTTTGACTATGTGGATGGGGGTGGCGCGCATGTTAATGAACGGTTTTGGGGCTGCTTTTGTTATGATGACACCACCAAAAAAAGAAGGATCGCGTGAGAATCATGTTTTTTTACTTCTCTACTCTCCTTTTGAACACAAAGTATTATAATGGAATCTGGGGGGTTTTTTTTTCTCTCTCGCGCGCGCTTAATCTTAAGAGGTGAAGAAAGGGGATTGGACGTACGCAACGATGCAATTGTAAGGTGTTTACTTGCTAATTCTTCTCTCGGAAACAGAGGGAGGAAGGGGGGGGGAACAGAGTAACGGTGTTAAATATGTGTGTGCGTGAAAGACTCTGTCATGAAAAAAAAACGAGGGCTTTGCTAAGTATGCGAAAAAAAAGAAAGAGTCCTCAAGAACCCTCTCAATACATCATCCTTGCTACACCAACATCCCACAAAGACGTGTAACAACCCTCAAGACATAATTCCATTGAAAACATTAGAATTCTTCATTTCGCCCTGAATACAGGCTACTTTTTGTAAACCCGCCTCTCGTAAGATATGCAAATCCGCTCATACTTCATTATGCATCATTCACTTGTCCATGCCCTGCCCACAATCTACATTTTTCCCTTGACCTCGCCCTTCATCTCCGCCGCCTTGCCCTTTGCCTGTCCCGCAACCTCACTCGCCTTTCCCTTTGCCTCGCCCGCAACCTGGCTGGCCTGGCCCTTTGCCTCTCCCGCAGTGTCAGGCGTAGCTTCCTTGACGGCGTTGGCGACTTCCTCTGTTCGACACAACATAAAACGTTAGTTATTCATACTCAATAAAAGAAAAAGAAAATATGATGGGTAAGAGGGCGGGGAGGGGGGGGCTAAGACCATAGGATGTCGTCATGTTCTCGGCTAACGCGAGGGAGAGCGTCAGGAGGGAAGGGAAATAGGAAAGGAAGGGGACGTACCGCCTTTCTCGATGCCCTTTACAGCAGCACCAGAAATTTTCTTGTCAACTACCTTTGCGGCATCTTTGATAGCGTCTACGGGGCTCTTGCGGGCAACGGGTGTGGTGCTGAAGAGGCGAGCTTGACGGGCGATCTGTTGACGGAACATGTTTGCTTGCTTGCTTGTTTGTTTGTTTGTTTGATGTGTAGTGGTATGTGGTTTGGTTTTGAGCGTTGGAACGTGGATGCAAGTTGAAAGGCGAGAGAGAAATCAATTGAAGCTTGAAATTAGAGAGACAAAGCGATGGGCGACACGGACAGCTCTTTTTAAAGGATAGGTGGGAGGTGGAGTTAAGTGGTAGCTGCTGTGGTATGACGTCGATGTGATCAGCCAAGGAAAAGTGGGCAACTACGCGCATGTGCATGCAAATCATGGCGGAACAAACATCGCGATTTGCGAATTTCGCATCTGAGAGAGAACACCAGAATTTTCTTGCATGTGAAGTTTGCCTTATTTTTCGATGATTAAAGAATATTCTTCTTCGTCTAGTGATTACTATCCTTTTTTTTGTTCATTCCATTTGTCTCGTGATTGGTTATTTTCCTTCTTTTGCGTCTAGTATAGCGCCTTCTGCCACCATGCACACCTAGCATTAGCATTACTGTCGCGAATCTCTTCAAAACCAGTGATGTTGAGCTCCAGAACGCTTGCGTCCGGCCCGTACATTCTGAATTCCTTGACGCCAACCGCGTCTGGAACGCCCGTCTCTGCAAAGCTCGTGATGAATGCTTGCAGAGCCCTAGCAACAGTAGCGTTAGTGACGCTCTGCGAAAGAGCTCCACCGTCATAGTAAGTATATGGCACATCCTCTCCGTGCAGGGCTGGGGGAACGGCAAAAAGGTAGCCATATGTCTTGTTTCCATATGCCTCTGAGAGGTACCAGGTGTTGCAAGTGAAGGCGCTCTCGGCAACGATCAGTTTAGCACGCTCGTAGTCGTTTGTATAACCCAAGGAGCCGTCGAAAACCGGTGGATACAAGGTATCCACAATATAGTCAATCGTTGACTGCGGTGCATTGGCATATGATTCCCCGAGCTGGGTTCGTAGTGCAGTTGAAGTAGTAATTGAGGTTGGTGTAAAAATGGCTCCTTCGTCGGCATTGTGACCAATCATGAGGCGTACGTTCTTGTCGAATCGCCCCTGTGCCAGGAGCAGACCGGGTTGGAGCGGGACGAAATTTCCATCCACCACGGGTCCATAAGTATAGGAGCCATATGGGGAATCGTAAGTGACTTGCTGGGCATTGGCGCGAATGACGGCGTCAGATGACAGAGCGCGGAGCTCAGCCAAAGAGGTAGCGTTGGTTAGGTTGAGAAACTTGTTGTATACAGTCTCCTGGGTAATAAGGGAATTGACTGGCTGCCAACCAGGGCTCTGCGGAATCGCTTGCTGGAAGGGAGCTGGGCCCTTGGCGCCTCCGTATGCGGTAATCTGGTGCATGACGGAACCTCCGCCTGCACTCTCTCCAAAAACGGTCACCTATAAAGAATGTCAGTCATATCGGGTATGAAAAAATGGGGGGGCAAATCTTTTACTCACTCTGTTCTTGTCGCCGCCGAAAAGATGAATGTTTTCTTGGACCCACTCGAGCGCCATACGCTGGTCGTACAAGCCCAGGTTAGATATACCTCCTTCTGATTGGAAAGACGGTCCTCCCATCCAGCCCAAAGCACCCAGGCGATAGTTCATAGCAACGTAAATGACATTTCCATTAGTCACGTTTCCAGAAGCAGCAAGCAGGCCAGCCGGGTTAGCATACTTTGAGCCTCCGGTGTATCCACCACCGTAAATCCATACGAGAACTGGAGCTCCGAATCCTTTGCCGGCATTCTCAAAGACATCCTCGGGCACAAAAACGTCGAGAAAGAGGCAATCTTCTGATTCTCGAGGATCGCGTGGTGGGACTACGCTGCTAGAATTGGCTCCTGATGGTACATAGGGGATTGGCGGTTTTCCTAGTGCTTGCGCAATCAACGCCGCTGTAACTGTTGCTCCCCATGCGCCACTAGCTTGTGGGCAGATCCTACACACATAAGTAAGAATTTCACCGCATAGTTCAGTTGACTCAAATACCTTGCTTCGTCGCCGTTGTTGATCGCTGACCGGTTCATTGCTGGAGCCTGAGGAGGTGCCCATCTCAACTCGGCAACAGGGGGCGCGGCATATCGAATATTCGAAAAGTTGTAGAAGTTGCCAGTGTCCTGAGAAGGAAAAGTCAGAACCACCAGCTCCCTAACTGCGATAACAATACGTACATTGAATCCCGAAGCGCGGTAGATTTGGTAGCCCAAGTCAACAGTAGGCAGTGAGGACAAGTCTTGAGCGTACACCGCACCCACAAGGGCCGCTGTTGCAGCACCCAGACGAAACATATTAAGTTAGCAAACCCGGAGGAATAAACGGAAACGCAACGCAAGAGAAGTGAAAAAAAAGATAGAACCACCAGGCAGCGGAGAACCTAAGTATTTGTTTTTTGCCCAGGGCACTCTGGGGGGGGAGGGGGCAAGCCTCGCGAATTACTAAATAATGATCTACCGCGGTATTTGCAAGGTGCAAACGCCGCTTTCTAGCCAGATGTAGAAACAAACACCCATATACGACTGTTGGTATCTTACCGAAGCTAGTGCTAGTGGACAAGTTTTGTGGCCATTACGCTCAAATAGCCGTAAACAGAAGTAAGTGCAATGCGCCCCCAGGCAGCCACTCAGTACAGTAACCGTGAAGGGGAGGCCCAGACTACCCTCTACGGGTACCTATGGCCGGATATGTGGCTAGGTGGAGTATAGACGTATACGTCATGGGGCGGAAGCGTCGGCGGTACAGCGCATGAATTAATTCGTCCGTGGAGTATTCGCTCACAGGTCCAATTCGACGTCGACACTGACCTGTGCTAGCTGCGTTGATGTTTTGACTTTGGAGTCAAAACATTGTTTTGTCTTGCAAGCACTTGGGTGGCTATGCATGGCAACTTTGACGGTCGAAACATAAGTATGGACATAGAGTATCTTTTGACCCGGCGACACGGCACACCCCCAAGTTATCTCGGTTCGAGCTCCGCATTGACAACCCGCACTAAGATCTTCCCCACCATGACGCCTTGCCTAAGACAGGCTTTGGGCCGAGGTACCCGTGTGTTGTCGCTGACGACCTAGTCTCGCTCTGGCAGAGTAGATGCGGAGTAAAGAGCTGACATTGCGGAGGATGGAGAAGAAGTTGAGAAAGAGAGAGAATAAAGTTACTCGGGAAAGAAGCTCAATGGTGTATAGACTCGGTGTCGCATGACGTTCGGGTTTAGCCCCTAGTCCCGGGGCCCTTGTTTGCCGTTCAAGACCGATCTCATCCGTGTTGACCAAAAACTTTCCTTTATCCTATATTAAGATCGTATTACACATGTATTGCATGTAAGCGCCCAGATAACGGGGGATCAGAGACCCGTGTGCTTCATTTGGGAATCTGGTTCAGATGATGATAAAGGGTAATTACACACCCGCAAGACGCGACAAGAGGTAGGCGGTATCTTGACTCGATTTACTTGAACAATGCTTTCCAGCTACTCAACTGGCAACTTTGACGAACATTCCAAAGCCGAGTCACGCGGAAGCATATCGGTTGCCGAAAAAAGGTCACGTGGAGCAGGTCCTTGTCATAGTAGCACTCAGCTCCCAGTCTTGCTGTTGTTTTTGTTTTTCTGTCCCTTCCTCCCCCCTAAAAGAAGGGCAGCCCAAGGCATCACCAATCGTCATTCTCTGACACCAAAAGCAAGTATTCAATGCCGTGTTACCCATGTAACCCCCCAGTTACATATACCCTCCACAGTCCATTGTGCTACAAAGGCAGAACAACGGACACATATACGACACAGTGGTGTAAAAAGCCCTTGCAACTACAGACGCAGCGCAACCGTGACACAATGCCGCACGCACAAAGCATCGCAAACAAGCGGTGACTCTGGCTCGTTATGCTGACGAGTCGCGTCTCGAGAGTTTGAAGGGGGAGGGGGGGAAGAGAGAAAACAAGCAAAATGCGGCGGCGAGACAATGTCATGACATGACGGCTAGGGCTAAGCTAGTGCTGCGCGCGCCGACGCGGCATTTGTTCTAGAATACTTTGATGGATAGAAAGCAAATTCGAGATTTTCAAATGTTTTGATGATTGCGACGGGAAGAAAAAAGACGGGAGGATAACACGTGAGCCCTAGATAGCGTTATCTACAGTATTATAGTAGGCCGCCCACGTTTCAGATTTGGGGGGCCCATGATGCCTCGTGGCAAAAAGGTAAAGCTACCACCAGTACGACGAACCGCCCCCTCGCATGCCTGTCAGTGCCGTGCGTTGTCGCCGCCGCCGCCGCCGCCCTCATCCAAGACAGCGGAAAAAAAACGAAGCTAGTACCAGACTGGACCTGCAACTCATCATGCGCATGTTGAATTAAGAGGGGGCGCGCGCACACACACTCACACGCGTGGGTAGGGGGGCTCGACTCGACCCTGACCGACTAACTCCACCTATAGAGTAGACTACAACTACACTAATCCGACACCTCTTCTTTCTTTCCCCACCCGCCCAACACACCTACTGCTGTGCGATAACAGAAACAAAAGAAGATATGCAGCGGCCGTCATTGCCATGATGATTGAGGGTAATTTTGGTGGTGCTGAAGTTACGCAACAAGAACGCACGCTGAAAGCGATTGCTTTTCTGCAAGGTTGAGCCTGGCTAAGAGAATTTGGGGGGCGCGCGCTGTCGGTGAGAGAAAACGGAAACGGCCATGGACAAGTTTCAGGGCGGACATCACACTTATTCAACGCCAGCGTCCGAACGGACGAGGAGCCGGGCTCCGACTGCGACGGGGGACAAGACGATTGCGAAGAAGAGATCGAGTTTGGGGCGGGCAGCAGGCGGGTTCCAAAGCAGACTGCTTGCGTCGTTGAGAAGTAGGAGGAAGAGCGACAACAATGGGCTAGCGCCGAACAGCAGCCCCTCGAGGTACGTGCCGTATCAAGTCATGTATCGCCCGCCAGTCGCTCATTACAGCCAAGCAGCAGCCCGTTTCTGGACGCATTGTTCCGGCTGCCAGATGAGCTTCACATCTACATGCTACGCGAGCTTTGCGTCGCTGACCTGCTTGCATTGCGACGGACCTCGCGCGTGCTCAACATGCTGGTTATGGAGAATGCGCCGGCCCTGGTGCGGTACTGGGTCAAACACCGGATGGGCAATCTGCACCTGCAACTGTACCCAGCGCCGAGGCCCAGTGCCATTGACTTTCCCTTTTTACTGACCATGAGACGGCGGCACATCGCATCCCTAAGGTTGACGCGGCAGCTTGCCGATCACCTGGTAGGCGAGCCGGTGGAGCCAGCAGTGTCCCCACGCCAGATGCAGCTGTGGTCCTCGGTGTATGAGCGGATGCTTCCTTTGGTCTTTGGCGTGGGTTACTTTCTCGACGAGCACAGACGGCTACTGTTGGAGAGGGATCTCGGACATATACGACCGCGCTCACGAATTGGCTACCATGTGCGCACGACTCCGGGAATTGCCGACCAAGAGAGGAAGATTGTCAAGAATCTAGATGCACCGCTGCGGCTACAGTACTTTTACATGTACTGCTTCATAGTACAGGTGCTGCTGCGAAAGACACGGCGGGCGAGTAGTGCTGAAGCGGTGGCAATGTTTCTACACGAATGGTCCCACCAGCCGGCATGCTATGAAGACGTTGCCTTTTTTCTGATACTGGGCGGTATAGGCCGGGTGGCCAAATTGCTCGCGTGCCCAACGTACAGTGAGCGGAGACGATACCTGCTTTCGTTCCGGACACACATGTCGCCGCACACGAGCAAGTGCTGGCGAAGGCACTGGAAGGATGCAGGCGTAGTCTCACCGGCTCTACTCGACGACATTCCTTGCACGCAGATTGGCATTACGCAGCTAGACCAGATCTGGGCTCCACTGGTTGCCCAGATGATGGGGCCTGGATCCAGGGACTGCAGTGAACAGGAAAAGAGGCGCTACGAGGAACTAAAGCTGTCGGGCAAGTTCATCAACGAAGTGATGGGGTACGACATCCTGCAGGGCCGTGCAGCAGATGGGGGCGAGCTTGACGATGACCACGAGCCATGAAAAAAAAAGTATGTATGTATCATGGGTTAGCAGGGGATTTGCTCTAGGTACATGGCGGAAGGAGAGAGGAGAAAAAAGACCCTTGTATCGGTAGCATTGAAGTGCCGTGCATGTTTGTTGTTAGGTTCTGACACATGTGTGGTGCCGGGCAATCTCCGCTGGTTTAGCGGTTAAAGAGGCTTTTGTGTTTTGGTGTGGCTTAGTTTGTGCTTAAAGATGCAAGCAGCCCACATGTATTACGTACAGGACCGGCGGACTAGCGCGGTATAGAGGCCTAGTTTGAATTGAGGACGGTGGATCCCGCAGAAGTCACGATGGACGGTTTTTGTTGCTGAGTGACATTGGGCTTGGCGTGGATTTTTTGCATGTGCTTGGTCTTAAGAGGAGGGCGCCAAGCAAGCTACCCACTGCGGCCTGGGCTTAGCATGTCAACGGCGGGTGCTGTGTGGCTGCATGGGACAGGGCGAGACAAGGGGACAGTTGGAGAAGCGTTGTCGACAGGTGGAGACGTGGAGGTGGGTGGTGGGGTAGAGGGGTGTAAGGATGGCTATTGCGACATGCGTGGTAGTGGCATGTGTGTGTTTCTGTCTTGCTGGGCTGGGGCACGGTGGCCGGTGGGTGGCGGATAAGATGGAGAGGTGGATGAGACGTCGCCAGAGGCAGAGAGCCATGGCGAGGGCGAGAGGGCAGACCCTGGAGGGGTTGCTGGCGCGAGGGCGGCAAGCCAAGGGCGAGTCTGTGCGCGTCTTCTAGAAAGCAGCGAGCGATGGAGGCGAGTGGAGCTCGGCTGTGGCTCTGCAGCAGACTGGCCGATGTGCAGCGAGGGGCGCAGCCAATGGCGTCGACGCGACTTTTGCCGCAGCGTCAGTGGGCACCACCACCACCAGACGGACGGCCGCCATTCAGCCGCTGCTGATTAACGGCGACGGGCGAGACGGGCAGCGTGCTGCAAGCAGAATAGAGGGCACGTCGAGTCAAGCCTGGGTGCAACGGCCAGCATGGACAGCAGGGAGCATCCAAGACGGTCAAGCCGTCTTGGGGCGTTTCAGGCAAAAGCAAAGGCACGCGGTAGTGCGCTCCAAGTAGGCAGTAGACAGACGGAGGCCATTGTGAGTGCAAATGCCTGCCTTCGGTGGCAGATTGGGATGACGTGCAGAGAGCCAGACAGGCACCATGGATCGAGACGAGGCTGCGTCATTGGCTGCGAGTCGGCGACGGGCGGGTGGGGTGGATGCAGTGGACGGAGTGGATGCAGATGGGTGCATGGGCGGCGGATGGAGGGACAGCAGACAGCGCGACAGCCCGAGATGAGAAAGCAGAGAACACTATGGGCGGAATTGCTCCATGCGCCTCGTAACGGGCCAAAGATGCTTCCTTGGATGCTGCAGAGCAGCACTGCTGTACGGCTGATGGGTCCATTGCCAACACCACCACCACCATGACGACGACGACGACGGCGATGATGACGTGCATCCAGCCCAATGTACGTACATGTGTACTTGGATACAGTAGTGTACATGCGTCCAGGCCTGCTCTGCCTTGGTGTGCTCTTGCTCGTCTCTCGCCCTCTCGCCGCCGGATGCGTCTGGGGCGTCTGCAAACTGCAATGGGCGCACCACCAGCCCCAACGGCGGCGCAGCCAATGGCGGGCCGTTGATGCTGACCGCAACAACAGGCCGCATGCATCCCGGTCGCTGTAGCGTCGGCTCTTGGACAGTTGCTCCGCCGCCCCCGTAATTGCTCCTACCACTTGCACGCAGCCCAGAAGAGCCAGCATGCGAACTAAAATCCCGCTGCTTTCTACTCATGCCCTACTGCGCCAGTCCCAGCCCTAGCGTCGTCCTACACGCCCAAGCCCCAAACCATATAATCCCAAGAGCCCGGCCCAGCGTTTGCGACCACCACCACAAAGTCCCCATCCAAGTGCCACCCCTTCCACTTCCTCCACCCTCCCCAGCTCCCGACTCTCTCCACGAGACACCACCACTACCACCTTCACACCCACCCGCGCACCATCCTCACTCCACCACTCCCCAACGCCCTCCACTCACAGCAGCCCTCCGCCACCCCATCTCTCCGCCGGCCCAAGTTTCGCGCGGCAACTACGCCTCTCTGGGCTACCCATCAGTCAGCTGAGCCACCACTCCCGACCCCACCATTACACACTGCCAAACACCATGAGACGGTAGACACTAGATAGCAGCAAATATGGACTTTACGGTAAGCGCTTGTCCCTGCTTCCTTTGCCCAAAACATGCCCTGGCTTGCCCCGGCCCGTCGCCTGCTACCCGTCATGTGTCCCCAACCTCGCCTCCCTTCCTCCCTCCCCCAACAACAACCACCATCACGGCTAACGCGACGCCTCTTAGATTTCGCTCGCGCACTTTTGCGAAGTCCACGGTCCTACCTCCATCATCTGTACCCAAGCATCCACCTCGCCCTGCGGCTCCTGCAACCCATGCGTCACGCCCCCCTCCGACGAGCCCCATTCGGCCTGCTCTTATAATGGCCTGTACGACCAGCCCACCTCCCTCAAGCTGAACCCGCGCGCCCCCCAGCTCAACTCGCCTTTTGACTCGCCCCCCACCAGCCCAAACTCACCCTCACACAACCCATACTTTCCCAGCTGCTCGTCGTCGTCCGCTGGCAGCAGCTTCGGCGGAAGGAGACCTAGCAGCACCCTCGAATCAGACTCGGACGTATGCGAAAACTGCCAGATGGTAGTTCCCCAAAAGTACAGCGACAAGATTCCCAACGGCGCCCCCGGCAGCCCCACCAAGGACGGACGAGGAAGGAACGGCAGTCCCGTGTTACGCAGCTCACAAAGCTATCCCGTACGACGCTCCATTTCGCGCGATGATGTCAGCAGTACCGATTCGTCAGACGTCTCAGACACCGAACAGTCGGCTTCCTTCCAGAGTGGCAACTCGAGCTTGTATCCAGACTCGGTGCCCGCCTCGCCCTCTCTTAGCTCAAGAAGCGTCCACACCCACACCCTCAACTACATCTCCACCAGCCAGCCACAGTCGCCCAGCACCTACTCTCTGTTGCGACGCACCTGCATCCGAACCTTGTCGACCGAGGTCCTCCCTCTCAGCAAGCCGTCTGGACCCATAATGTTTGGAGACTCGGTCGCTGGCTACACCATTGCCTATGTCTTTCGTCTGCAGGATCCGCGATCGCGAGGCGCTAAGCGCACCTATGCGCTCATTGCCATGGCCGGTCGCGACTGTCGCAGAGCCACAAAGGCCATGGTCAAGATCACCGAGGCTTTCGAGGGCATCGCCAACCGAATCATTTCGCTGGCCGACAGGGTGCTTGAGCGAGAAAGCGCAGCTTCGCAGAGCATACCACGTCCAGCAACGGCCGTACCCGGAAGCACTCCCCCTCTCGGCACTTCGGCCTCGTCAACATCTTCGGCCACCTCACAGCTGTTACCGCCTCAGAAGGAACGAACCTCTTCGACCACCAGTGCGCCCAGTTTCCGCAACATCACTCCCGTCTCTTCTTTCTTGTCTGCCAAAAAGCTCGACCCCGATGGCTTCCCTCGTGTGTCTCGTGACGTGATGAAGGCCAAGAGCCTGATTGAGATTGTCGGCCAGGAAAACTTCTTCGTCGACCTTCACACCCTCTTCTGCCGACTGCTACACTCTTTGATCAAGCAGTACGGATAGATTGTTCCCAGTTGTCGCTTCTTTTCAGCGTGCACTACCTTTACTTTCTCTTCGTTGTATTTCTTACTCACTGTTGCATTTCCTACTAGTCGTTTCTCGTCGTGCGTTATAGCGTTTCCTTTTCCCATTAGTTCCACAGTGTGTTGGAGCACCGGCGTTAGGGGGGGGGTACAACCACTTTTCTTCCAACGACATTGTTATCTTGCTTCGCGACTCAACAGACCAGACGATCAAAGGTCGAGTAGCTTTATACCCTGTTTGCGATACCCGAAGCTTCTTGTTTTTGTTGCCGGGACTGAGCAGTGCACATTAGATTCGTGCAACTTGACTCTTACAACGGCGTTCTGGAGAGGGTAATCGGGGATGCGAGTTGTCGACGATGGAATGCTTGCTACTGTACTAGGTCGTTAGTAGCAATGGCGTGGTTAACGTCGTGGATGAGGTGATGCAAGAAGAATAGCAGTCACAATATGAAGTTGTTAAGACGACATCTGGTTTCCTCAAGAGTACATTGTTTTGTAAAGTGTCCAAACTCTACTTTGTCTGCATGGCCATGTCTGCCTAAAGAGCCAAACCTCATGTGCTACATCAGGTTAGCCTGAGTACCATGAGAGGCCAATACACACCCAGGCACAAGCACAACTCTAACAGTACTCAACCGTCATCTTAAACACGCTGCTACTACACACCCGAGCTTCAGACCCTCACGATACCCTTCGGAAAAGGCACACGGTACATGTCTGCTGTGGCTTGCCCGCTTCCTCGATCCGCAACCACATGGCCCACCCGCGCCGGTGCACCCTTCTCCGATACCGGACGACTCCAACTACTTATTACCAGGATTTAATGATTGCCGATCTGCACGTCTGCAAGTGTGCAGTCTCCTGACAATAGAGTGAGTGATAAGTGGTACGCGGCTTTTTGCTCGTCATGGCTGGATACGATATCGGCCCGGATCACTCGGCTGGCGGATGGATGGGTGGCCTTACATTGGGTTTGACGTCATGGCCTTTTTTTTTCTCTCCATCACCATCGCATAGTGTCGACGCTTGGCGGATACGGCAAAGAAAGGTTCCGATACATGTCATAGCTTTGATCTTTTTGCTCTTTCAGAGTTGTTAATTCTCCGTCTGTGGGGAAGACATGTGGCTGTGATTTAAGCATCATGGCTTCAGCCAAGTTTTCAACCATCTGAAAGCCAAGTTTTTGCTGCCCTCTTTCGAGCATGACGAACGTTGTTGCTGTGGCGCTGGCCAGAAAGGAGTGATTGTCACGGAGGCATGTTCGCAAATGGCCACTATGTCTGATGATTTCCATATGTGGATTGAACAGCTGGGGTTCATACAGGGTAGATGCGTTCAACTGACGTAGTTGGAGGTCACAGTATGACGAATGTCAGAACATCATGTGTAACTCTCTGCTACCGCCGAGGAGTATACAAATGGAATGAAAGTACACCTCATCATCTTGATCAGAACACGCCATCGTCGATTTAACGCCAGGTTGACTAGGCATCCAACCAACCACAACAAACTCCAAATCTATCCGACACTCTTAACACGTGAGGACCCCCGGCCATTCCCTAAGCCACGCACGTACGAATAGCAACGCTTACCCCAATAAGCAGTGTCATACCTCATCACCCCATCACATTTACCTCGTGAAACCCCCCCATATTACATCTCACCATGGACTCTTTTACCGGAAACGGCTCAAACCAAGCCGCATCAAACAACAACCAGCAAAAAGAAGATTACCTCGACAAGGGCCTTGACGCTGTAGAGAAGAAGTACGGTGGTGCAACGGCTGAGGACACACAAAAGTATCGGGGTGTGAATGAGAAGATTGTATGTTTCCGCCGTTCTCCTAGTTCCACTCGGAACCAAGGGAACTACATAAAAAGAAAAAGAACAGCAGGCTAACACTTGGAAAATAGACCGATGGTGCACGCAACATGTTTGAAAAGGCGACTGGCAAGAATGTCCCCGACAAGTTCTCCAACTGAGGACCCACCACCGACCACCGCGTCCACGCCCAACAAGAACGGGTGCTGGAAGGATAGAATGCATAAGCTCGACGACAGGTGGTCCAAGGTCCGGCCGTATGTTGAGAGGCTGAACGGAACAATCGTTCCGTTGCGCTCAACATACGAGCAAGACCGAGAACAACAAATGGAGCTGCATGCTGCGGTCCGTGAAGACCAGAGGCGTGGAAAGTTAGATGATAATGATACCTGTACGAATAGGAATGACTGAAATCAAATTATAAAGGCAAACTATGGTTTTCGTTTAAAAACTTAATTGTCGTAGTTTTTTTTTTGTTGCTGGGGGCATTAAAATGAAAAGGTGAACCAAAGGGAAAGAGAGAGAGAAAGAGAGAAAATTGTTGCTGCCCGTCCCGGTTGGAAGGAAATTATCTCACACCGCCTCCTTCTTTCTTACTTATCATTCTTTTCTTTCTCCATTATCCAAACATGACACATACACAAAATAGGACCGAAGAGAAACCTCCTCAACTACTTTCGCAGTCTTGCTTCATTTTTTTCTCAACTCTCTCACGTCCTCTCTGCCTTCCAATATGGACTAGGATAGTAAGCTTATATGTATGTACGTAAGTTTTATAAGCGACGATATGCCCCGCGGCCCTACTTTTTCTTTTCTTCTTGCTTGATTGATTGCTTGCTTGCTTGCTGCGCGCTTAAACATGCAAGCATGGTGCAGGTATGGGCATGTAAGTACACATGCATGTACCCAAGTCCACAAGTGCAATATGCAATGCACGATGCACATGCTAAACTGGTGCTTACAGGATGCATGCGCGGTGCAGGAAAGGCGCTAGACTTGGAAAAGATGGGGTATCCACTAGGAGAAAAAGGATTCAAACATGTGAAAAGGGAGCAGGCAAGTCGACCCAAAAAAAATTAGAGCAAGATCATCTGTAATGTGGGTAGTAGGTAGACAAGTACAACGTCCAGTGTGCTACCCTTACTAGACTCGAAAATATCGAATCCAACAACCCACCCTTATTCCCCCTGAAGTATACACTCCCAGAAACCAGCAACACAAAAAAACATGTGAACCCCTCCAACCCGCCATCTTGCGCGTGACACCCCTCATCCAAAAAACGCGCTACCCGCCGCCGCCCCTTATGCCTGTAGCCTTTTACCTTTTTACCCCGCCCCCACCACAAACCACTCCATCCGCGTCGATCCATCTGATCCTCTGATCTTCGTATCCGCGAAAACGTTCACCCCAGTCCAGTTCAGTCCAGTCCAGTCCAGCCCCAGTCCGCCTCACAAAAATAACATCCAACTACATGCACCAACAGCCCCGCCTTGAATAACACGAAAAGACAGCCAAGAAAAAAAAACCCCCGCGAGTCGCCAGACCCCCTCCAAAACGAAAGAATACTTCTGAACAAAAAAAAGAAAGTAGTTCAAAAGAAAGGCAAATGTCCAGCAACCCAAACCAAGGCGATGGTGCCGCAGGCTCCGACTACCTCGACAAAGCCTTCAACACCGTCGCCAGTAAATTTGGCGGCGCCGAGGGCAAGAAGATTGCAGCGAATAAGGGGTTGAGTGAGAAGATTGTATGTTTTTCCCCCCTCCCTTACCCTTTCCCCCCCTCCTTTCACCTATTCCTACCTTACCTTACCTACCGATCCACATTATATCGACTTACACAAGTAACACCGCTTGGTGGCCAACCCCGCAAAAAAAAAAGAGAGAGAGCCGAGAGGAGGGGCAAAAAAAAAAGCTAACGCAAATGCCTACCCTTTAGACCGACGCAATGCGCAAAGCGTACGAAAAAGCGACGGGGAAGAAGGTTGATCCCAAGATTTCGAATTGAGACGGGGAGAAAAAAAAACTAGTGTCGATTCGTAGTAGGTGGGGAGGGGAGAGAGAGAGGAGGAGGGGGGGCGGGGAAGGGAAAAGGGGTGGCTTGAGTGAAACCGAGGAAGGAGACGTTTACTTAGAATGCTGGTGGTTGGTTGGTTGTGTAATATGTGTGTGTGTGTAAAGAAGAAAAAAGTATAGATCCTAATATCCCTTACATACTAAACTACCCTTTCCCGCCCCCCGCCATTCATCCAAGACTACTATTTCTTAACTGCAAAAAAAAAACTGTAGCCTGCTGTAACATGAAAAAAAAACGACCGAATTTACTTGAAACGACATGGGGAAGGGGCTATGTGTTGATGAGACAAACAGAAAGCATGATTCAGAAGAGAGAGAGAGAAAAAAAAACTCACTTAATGTACATTTTCCCCGGGACGTTACGGGATGAGAAGACCCTGCATATTGAATCTCCTCATTCTTGCATATAGATGCAGACACACATACACACACTCTTGAGATGGTGTCAGTCATGCAAACTACTACTAACCCCATCTACCTCAACCAGCCAACTCGACCCTCCGCCTCAGCAAAGACCTTGCTTCCGTCTCACTCAATAGCTCCAAGCCTAAATCATCTAGCACATCTCTAGCCGCCTGGTTATCCGCAAACAGCCGCTTTTCCACTTCCCACAACCCCAGCAGCTCTTCAGCCCCGGCAGCAGCAGCAGCAGCAGCGCCAGCCTCATTTCCACCGCCCAATGACATCGTTTCACCGGGGTGATTTGCTTTTTGCGCAACCGACGGATCCTCATCACCGTCTTCTGCGCCGCCCCAAGCCTCCGTGTCCCAATCTTCGTTATCCTCGCCACCGTCGTCATGCTTGGCCTGATCCTGGTCTGATGTACTAGATGGACTGCCTTTGACTGGTAAGCCAACAAGTTTCACACCCTCGAGACACTTTCTCAGTCCCGTTTCGGCCACACCAGGGCCAACATGCTTGTCGACGACGCGGCACACAGCCAAGACATCAGCGTGCAACTGTATGGCACCCTGCGTGGAGAAGCGGTACCGGCACATCACATTCTCCCAAAACACCGTCGAAATAGTAGTCAGCATGGCCCGGGTGATGCGGCGCAATGGTGCAGACGCAAGGGCACGTGAAAGGAACGCTAGTGTTGTGCGCAGATAAACAAGCAACGGATCCAGCTCTGCGGTAGGCGAGGGTTCTGCAGCGGAACCTGAAGCCGAGGGCCCACCCAGCGTGGCCCACGGGTTGCTATTAGAAAAACAAATGTCAGTACATAGCTTTCGCATTAAACGGTAAAGTGATGTGGTGAAGAAACGTACATGTGCCGATATGCACGCAGCGCCTCGCGCACGTTGCTGTTCAATGTGTCGATGATAATCTTCTCACTGCGGTCACGAAGGCGCGCGTACCACGATGCCGTTTCGTCAAATAGCGAGCCTGCTTCGATGTCGTCGCTCTCAACCTTCTTTGACGTGCGTCCGGCCACATCTGCAACAGTCATGGTACCAATATTACTAGTCGGGCTACGAGCGCGATCTTGCAGCTCCTCCCAGATATCCAGGAAAAACTACGAAACCCAAAGTCAGCCGCGAGTCACATAGCACAGGGGTAATGCAGATTGCGAGCCTACCACGTCGTCGCTCCAGTCACGCATGGCCCGTTCGAGATAATCTGCACTGCCAAAGGTCTTGCAAAGGCGCTCCAGTCCTTCGACGCCAAGCAGCTTTTCCTGTTCCTCTTTGGTGATGCCGCCCATGGCACGACCCAGCGACGTTGTCATAGTCAGATACGCTTCGAGATTGCTCTGCAGCCTCTCGTGCAGCTTGTCAAAAATCGCAATCTGAATATCAATCAGGAAGGTGAGTTTCTGGCTAAACGAAGTTAGAGGCCTGTAGCGATCTGCAGTAAATGTAAGGTTAGCGGCAGATTTGCAATGTAGGGTAAGCGAGAAAAGTACCCGTTATGGTCTCGAGCAGGTCGTTTACGCGGATCGCTCCTTTTGTGGGCTTGGTGGCTTTGGGATCGACGCTCTCATAGTCAAGATCACCAAAGTCTGGAGCCTTGACAATGTTCTGATAGCGGGATAGGGCAACTGCTGTGTGTCAGTCATCCGCAACAAATTTCCACATTGGGCACGGTAAAAAAGCTTACAATCCTTTTCCACCTGCAGCCACCGTCCAAACCAATCACCCTGTACGAGGAATTCCCATGAAAGCCCCTTCCAGCCATCAACGCCATGACCAGCATCGTAACCCCACGTGTCTCGGAGGTCCGTGTCAAAGTTCATCACCTCGTGTATCAGGTGGCTCAAAAGCTGTGGCTGACCAGCGACCTTGGGCAGCAGCGAGCCAATCTTGGTGCGCAGCATGGGTAGCAGGGCAGTTATGAAGGCCGACATGGCATCAATGTAGACGGGGTTGAGCGCAAGATCGGTTCCGCGGAAGTGGCGTAGTAGAACAGGCTGGACATGGTCATTGACGAATCCGCTGTAGTCGTTCAGAAGCGTGGTGATGTGGGAAAGAAAGTACTCGGGCCGGTCGATACGGTTCGTAGGCTTGTCGCCTTCAAAATGATAGCGGAACCGCATCTCGAGCGGCTGCACCAGTACCTCTATGGGGAACAGTACTGGCGGCAGCTTGACCTTGTTCCCAGGACCGTTGACATAGCTCATGCCCTCGAGCTCGGGCAATTGCAGGTCAAGAAGTTTGATAATGGCAGCCTCCCATTCTTCGCGCAGATGCGTGGGTATAGTCGCATTGGGCAAGGGCCAACGTATCTTCTTGAGCGTACATTCGAGCTGGGCAGAGAAGGCGTCGAGAATCTTGGTACGCAGGGCGTTGGTGATTTTGCTGACGTAGTAGACCAGCTGGGGCGCGGCGCCTTCTGCGTCTTCTTGCAGGTTGACGAGGCGCGTGTGAATGGAACGCAGCTGCTTATACGGTGCGAGGGCGGCTTCGCTGGACGTCTGAAGCTTTGCATGGGCTTGTTTACTATAGCGGTACGTCAGCGGGCGGCGGCTCTGGGGTATGAGAGGCGGCAGCTGCTGGCGCTGGCGTACCTGAGCTTGTCCACGTCTGCCAGCAGCTCTACGTAGCTGGTGGCGACATCCAAACGGTGCAGCGTGTCGAGCACCTCAGCGAAGCGGGGCACGGCTTCGTCGCTTGTCTCCGAGGCGGTTATGACCATGAGGCGGCGGTCAATGTCGGCCTGCTCGTGCCTAAAGGCGTCTGCGCGCTGGGCAAGGGAGTCATGGTGGGCGTGTGAAGCGTCTTTGGCGTTGTGAAGGTCGCGCTGGGCGTCGTGGAGCTGCTTCTTGAGCAGGCCGTGCTGGGTGGTGATGGTGGCCAATAGATCGTGGAGCGAGTCGAGGTCCCCGAGCGTCTGCAGCCTATCGTCGAGGTAGTCTGCGACGCGAGTTGAATTGTCGTCCATGGATCGTACGATTCGTGGGCAGATGGCTGCGTTGGGCGAGGGTAGGCAGTCTGTCGCTGCGGCTGACGGGATTGCAGTTACCGTTCGGCCAGTGATGGTGGGGGTCCATCCCAGCCTGGCCACGCCCCAAAGCGGCTAGCGCACCGGGCGCCAGCGCGCTAGCCAGCCTCGGTCGACCCTTTCCTCTGCCCTGGTGGCGCCTTCCCGATCTTGGGGACCGCCTCGATCTCCACCGATCTGGGCTAGCCCCAAAATGGGCAGCAACTTTTCCCTAGCGAGCGCCACCCTCTGCCGCATGAGTCCATTCTGCTGGAAAACATGCTTAATGCACTGCGACTGCCGTGTCCAACGCCTCCGTAAAACCTCTATACTGCCCTTCCGCGGCCCTCTCCAGCCCTGCCCTTGCTGCACACCCCCAGCCGGTTATAAGTCCCTGCTGCCCGGCCCTGCGTCGTGTGCTGCTGCGCACTGCAGACTTCTCTCCCCGCCTGGTTGCTGAAACGGCCCAAACTTTCGTCGCGCGCCGCTGCCGTCATCGCCAGCAATGCCCAAGGAACACAAGAAGCGCGGTCGCCGCGAGGAGCAGAAAAAGCGCAAGAGGGACGCCGATGACGATGCCAGCTCCAAGCGCCCTAGGCACGAAGATTCTGACCTGCTCCCAGTCCAAGATTCAGTCCACGAACTCGCCAATGGCCAAATCAGCCGTCCCAATGAGTCGCCCTTTTACGGAATGCTCGACGAGCAGGAACAAGAGTATTTCAAAAAGGCCGATGAGATGCTCGAGTTGAACCAGTTCGAGAGCACCGACGACCGTGACATCTTCCTGGCCAGTGTGTGGAAAGAGGCTGACGGCAAGGAATTGAAAATCGCCAACAGCCAGTCCTCGCGCCTACTTGAGCGCCTGATCCTCCTATCCTCGCCAGACCAATTGAAAAGTCTGTTCCAGAAATTCAGCGGACAGTAGGTCCTTCCATGAATGCCTTCTGCCATTGCTATGCTGACCGCCCCCCTAGTTTTCTCAACCTCGTTCAGAACCGATTTGCCTCCCACTGCTGCGAAGCCCTCTTCATAAAAGCTGCCCCTGTCGTTACAGAAGAGACTGTCAACGCGGAAACTCTACAGACCCTACCTGCCTCCAATCCCGATGAGGTACTTGTCTCGATGGAAAATCTCTTTCTCTTTACACTGGGCGAGCTCGAGGGATATATGGGTTTTTTGATGACGGACAAGTACGCCTCTCATGTACTCCGCGTGTTGCTTATAATACTTTCGGGTGCGCCGCTGGAAAAGCAGACCAAGTCCGTCACGCAGAGCAAGAAGAAGGAAAAGATTACTGTTTCTGGCGCAGAAAAGGGTCAGGAGCGTGTCTTGGAAGAGAGGGTTGTTCCCCAGTCTTTCCTGGATGCCCTGGAAAAGCTCATTAGCGACAGTGTCTCTGGCATAGAGTCGCACTATCTTCGTTCACTCACCACACATCCGCTCGGTGGCCCAACCCTGCAGCTCCTTCTCAAGCTGGAACTGGCGCATTTTGGAAAATCTCGAGCCAAGGAC